GCACAGCAACACTGGCACCGAGCACGTCTTTTGGCTAGACAAAGATCGCAGCGGGATTTTCAATTTTTTTTTTTGCGCTTATCAAAATCAAGTTAAAATACCAACAAACGTTCTACGAATTTGATAAAAAGCAAGGGGATTTTAAGATAGCTACAATATGCATGCAAGCATGCATGTGTATGTGACTATGTGTGCTTGTGTGTGTGCGAACTGCGCGTTAGCCTAAGTGCTGTTTGATAAGGAAAAAAGAAATATAAAGAAAAAGCGGAACATGTGTGTAGGTGTTGCTGTCTGTGTGAATTGGAAGTATTTTTTTTAATGATTATGTATGTGAGTTTTTATTTGAACAAGTTTTTTTCTTTTTTGGCAGACAATGCGTTATTTCAAGAGTCTTCTTTGCTGCCCAACAGGAAATGCGAACGAGCGTACTTAATGGCGTTGGCTAGCTGCTGCCGCACATACGTAATTCATGTTGTTGTTGTTGTTGGTTGTTGTAGCTACATATCTGAGAGTATATGTATGTGTATGTTTGTGTGCCAGTTTCCTATGGACCTTACTATTTTATTTGAGAGCATAAGCCGACGCTCAAGTGAAAGAGAAGCTTTAGAAGTTGAGTGCGCACCACTGCTGTGAGTTATCGATAAAACACGATAAACACCGTTCAGTGACTAATGTAAATGTTAAATTTCGCAATGAAATATACTATTAACTTAAGTTACACCATTAAGAAAGCAAAATTTGAACAAAAGTAATGCTATACTGAAAGCTCTGATAATTCAAATGCAAATGCAACACTTACGGTACAAATAAATATAAATTACAAAGAAAAAAACAAGCGCAAAGCATTTGTTTGGTTATACGTATGCAATAGAAACACACACAGGTAAATAAATATGTTCACAAACTTTAAAACGACCTTGATCGCATTTAATCTGTTTCACAGGTATATCAACTGATTAGGGCAACTCATTAACTCATTTTGTCCAACCTATTGCCAACTAGCAACCAACCCGACCCTTCACTTCAAACATTTGTGATGTTATTTCACTACTTCAACTAATGCAAAAGACTGGACTAGTCTATTGTACTGTATTGGAAACCAGTTTATGCGATGGCCCCATACAAAACAAGATAATATCGTCTACATGTGACGGATATACATACATCCACAGATGTCATAGAAATTATCTTTCGATTAACAGTTTAAATGTGATATCGTAAACTAAGTTTTTAATAGTTGTCTATAAGAGTTTTGAAATTTTATTAGCATTTTGAGATATTTTTTGGCAATATTTATTTCATAGCCGGCAAATTAGTGAAAAGTATATTAAGTTGTCACTTTTTAACGTATTTCATTATAAATTATCGCTCAAGATGTTTGCTCATTTTTTTAAAGTGTTTAATTAACTTCTAGTCTTTTTTTGTTCTACACAACATATATGTATATATTATGCTTATAAAAATGTTTTTCTACATTTTTTTAGGATAAGTTCTTCCTTCTTTTTTATTAAAAAATAGTTTGTTTTTATCAATATTCACTATAGCTTTAAAGCTCGGAAGGAATCAACACCATTGTTAATAAATGTGTCTAAGAAAATCAGGTAAGATAACTAGTTGCTTGCATACTGAGTAAACACTCAAATAGAGACAAAAGTTATATATAATATATGTATATATAATATATTTATAGCAATGAATTTCTGAATAGCTTCGGAAACTTACCAATTAACGTTATTATCGTCCAGCGATGTGCAATGCGTGCGTCAGTTGGACTGATCGACAGGCGAACCGATATACACATATATATTTAGCCATATATATTATATATATATCGTGATTGGTTACGATTATTGTTGTTGTTTCTCTTGTCGTTGACTACATGAAAGACTAATCAGCATTTTGTTCCAGATTTTTTGTTTGTTTGTCGAAATTTATACAGATCTAAAAGAATGTTGACCAAACGTGAAGGAGAGTGGGGATCAAACGGGCCATACGAATATACAGGACGATTGTATTGATAGAGTGGGTATTGATTCACACATCACGCATAGAGCAACTGGCCAGCTCGTCGATGTGGCTGACACATTAACTATACATTGCGACGTAGCACCTTCTTGGCAGCCTTAATGTTGGGCACCAGAGCCTTCACCTCACTGCAATCGTCGAGGAATGGATGCTTGAGCAGCTCGTCGGCTGTGGCCCGGCAGTCGACATCGACTTGCAGACAACGATTGAGGAAATCCTGCAAATTGGGACTCAGCTTGCTCCAGCTCTTTATCTCAGGTCGTCCATTGGCCGCGATTAGATAGAGGGCACGCAACGGTGTCTCATACAGATACGGCGGTTGTCCGTCGATCATCTCAATGGCCATGATACCAATCGACCAGATGTCCACCTTTTTGCCATACTTCTTGCGTGTCACCACCTCGGGCGCCATCCAGTAGGGTGTGCCCACCATGGTCTGGCGCTTCTCGTCACCCTCGATGTTGGCACAAAAACCAAAGTCTGTCACCTTCACACAGCCATCCATGCCCAGCAGCACATTATCCGACTTGATGTCCCGATGTATGATCCCCTTCGCGTGCAGAAAACTTATCGCATAGAGAACTTCACGGCAGACACACGCTATTTGACGCTCCTTCATTACTGTTTCGGTGACCACATCTGTTAAGGGACCACCATCCATGTACTCCATAACCACCCAGAGCTGATCCTCGGGCTCGAGCAGGTAGGCGTCCAGGAAATTGACCAGATTCTTGTGATTGAAGTCCTTGAGCACACGTATTTCGGTTAATATGAGATCCTTGGAGGATTGATTTTTCATTTCAATCGTTTTGATGGCCACCTGGGTTTCCGTCTGCTTATCGCCAGCTATAAATACAATGCCCGATGCACCCTTGCCCACCTCCTGGCTGGTTTTGTAACGCTCACGCGGATCTTCTGGATTGCATATGGCTCGCAGCTCATCATAGATCTCTGCATCAGTTTTCTGGGACCTCTTCTCCTTCGAGCGACGCAGAATTGTTTCCTCGGGCGCATCGGCATCGATGCCACCCTCTTGGGTCCCACTGCCCGCAGCAGCGGGCTTGATGATTATGGTATCAGTGTTGATCTTGCTCTGCAGCTCTCCATCCTGTCCACGCAGATCACGTGATAATTTGTGTTGAATGATGCTTGCGGGTTTGGGCTTGATTTGTGGCTTGGGCGGCAGTTGATGTGGCGATTTCTTAGGCGGCACAGGCGGCGGCTCCAGTCCGCTGTTCGCCTTAATTGGCTTTAGTGTCTCACGGCCCAAATTCGATTCCAGCTCTTTGATCACTTCATTGAGTGCATCCAGCGGTATGACTGACTGTTGACTGCTATCGTTCAAGCTGCTGCTGTTGCTATTCGCCGCAGAGCTGCCGCATCCACTGCTACTGCTCTCGGTAGCCGTTGAGCTGCCGCTTCCATCGTCGTCAGATTTATCAATATCCTGCGATTTGTGCTTGTTCTTGTAATTGACATAGTTATCAATCTCTTTGGACTCTTCGTGTATGACATCCTCCGTAATGAACGGCTTAAACACCTCCTGCTCCTTCTTTTTGATTGAGTAATTGTAATATTTGACTGCATGATATGCGGCATCTGGATTTTTGTCCTGTTCGTCGCGTGTAATTTGTGTATTCATCAGGCGCACCCATGGTGTGGGCAGACCCTCCAGGTCGCCTGTCTCCTGGTTGCGTGAGACATGAAAATGCCTCTGGAAATTTGTCGGGGCACCAATCTCGGAGATTTGCTCCTTCTTCTTGAACCACTTGGCAAAACTCATGTTTATATATTTGTTGTTTCTATCTCTCTCCCTCTTTTTCTTAATATCTATATTCTATGCTTTCTGCAACGCTGGAAATTTCTTTAAAATGCTTGGGAAATTCTATTGAAGCGTGCTTTGTTTTGTTGCCGTAGGTAGCGCTCTAGCGCCCTCTCACTTGCACTCGCACAACTCACTCGACAGTCACACTCACAGGGCCAGCCGTGAGTCATAAACAAGCACACACACGCGCACCCGTCGTGCTATGTATGTGTATATTTGTGTACGTATGTATATGTTTGTGTGCGTGTCTATGTTCGCTCGCTTATCTCTAGTTAAGTTAGCTTAAGCTTTTGTAGACAGCAGACGTAAAAAGCCCCACTTTGCCATTTTTGTACGGTGCTTTGTAGAATTTTCACTTTTATTGCCTACACACAGAACTAATTTTTAATTAAATGCAGTAGCCACAACTTTTTTCTTTACTTTTTCAATTACAGCACACACGAACGCACGCACGCACACACACTCATTTTCACAGATTCTGGAGCGAGACAACGGGCACAAAAGGAGTGGCCGCACCAGCGTCTTGTTCTTGCCCTTGTTGTTGTTGTTATATTGCTTGTGCCGCAAATACTACACTTTGTTTGTCTTAACCAGTCCGTTGTGCCATTTTTATTTGTTTGGTCAGAAAAAACATTTATTTCTTTTTTGCTGCAGTGGAAGGTCTGCAATTCACAACTTCTTTTAATTTTTCTCCTTTACTGCAAGTTGCGCTGCAATCGGCCGTACTGCTGTCGCACTCTCACGCACACGAACAAGTGACTATGTGACCGTACAGAGTAAACGCAAAAACGTTGGACCAACTTATAAAAATACTAAACTGGATAACATTAGAAATAAATCATGAAGCATTTAGTTTTAATAATTTGTTTTTAATTAAAAAATCACTTATAGCATTTAGGCTTTTTTATGTTTATTTATACATAAATTTATAATTGAAAGTATTAAAAAGGTTTTAAAACTTGCACATATCTGAATATATAAATATTTATGAAGAGGTTCAAGAAAAATTTATGTTTACAACTATAATTCAATTTTATTATTTTTATCCAAGTTATTAAATAATGGCCTTGCTTTAATAACCATGTCTGTTTTATTTAGTAGGAAATTCGTACAAAATATTCAATTACCAAAAAAAATCTACTGAAAGATATTCATACTATGCTGCTATGGATGCGTTCAGCAAAAGTAACAACTTGGCGGTAACGTTTATTTGTAGCAGTATTCTAGTACGTACCACGAAATACACTTAAATCTGAAATTCATTTTTCAATTTATCGCTGGTACTATTTTTGAAACTAAAAGCCATACGCGGAGTCCTCGTCATACACTTCGTCGGTATTTAACGAATTTAAGGAACGCGGCCGTATTAGCATACGCGATGTTTTTATCAAATATTCGTTGCGCGAGTTGCCCCATATAATACGCTGTCCATTTAAATTGGATTGAGCTTCCAGGCAGCGATCAAACCACCAGCCAGAGCAGCCACCATCCCAGTCGCTGGACCTGAAATCCATGCCATTATGATAGCTGAGAGCATCGGACGTGCTGCTGTTGTCATCCATTTTGCCAATCACCAATTGATAGTTGAAACTTTCGCTATCTAGCCGAAAAATAGCATATTCAGCCCACACTTTAACATCGAGCTGATCCTGCAACTCAATACGCAGCTCGTAATCGTCGCGATAGACAAGTCGGTGTATGAATTCGTTGCCAAACCAAAAGTCGCTCTCCAAACTGCCAAAACCTGACCGATACTCATCCCAGCTGCGATTGAAATTCTCCAGCTGCTCCGTGCGTCGCTGTATCACGGTCCACGCGGCTCCAGTCGTGGCAAACGCGCAATAACGTTCATTCAAATCGCGCTGCTTCTCATTCAGCTCAGGTTCCAGGAATTTGTAAACACCATCCACACGCTGTTGGTCATCCAGCTCGGCGCAGTCCGCCTTAGCTGGCTGCAAATACTCTTTGAGTATTTTTGTTGTTTTTGTAGGTAAGTTAATATTTGCTTTTATTTCAAGTATTTTCATACTCACCCACACTTGCTTGGTTACTTTCCTTTGTCGCCTTAATCTCTGACATTTGCTCGCTTTCCGTTTCCAATGCGCCATTTTCATTTTGTCTCTGCCATTCCCGAGGGACTTGACTTTTGGTCACCAGCAGCGCCAGCATTGAGTGCATTTCTTCCATTTTTTGAGCGAGCTCATTCTTCCACTGAAAGCTTAACTGTAATTGGTTGATACGATCCTGCGTTTGTCCCCAACTATCTAGCGCTTTGCTTAGGTTACCAGCCAATTCTCTCAGAGAGTCGCCTGGCCTAATGTGCGTAAAAGAGAGCAATTTGCTGATCACCCGATTTAACTTAAATTCCACATTCAACAGGCTACGCTGTTGTTGCTCCTGTGCATTCCGCACCAGCATCAACTGCTGCTCCATCAAACTCCTCGGTTTCGCTGTAGCTGCGCCTGAAGCTTCCAGCGTCAGCACAATTGCAATTAGAGCGAATAGCAAAGCCGTAGATAACTGGAAGTCAGAAAAATGTGGAAAATTTCTTAGAACAGCCTCTACTAGGCTAATCCAGCGAGCTTTACCCGCATCTTGTTGCCTCAACAAAGTGTGGATTGCAACTGGCAGCATATGTCGAGCAGTAAAAACATTCCCAATAATTCACTAAAGAAGCGCCACATCTGTTGCAAATTAGGAATCAAGTAAAATGAAATGAATGAAAAAAAAAACAACTTGATTTATGTTTTTGTTTGTTTGTTTTTTTTTTTTTTTTTTATAGAGTTTTAATTATTTTTATGAATATAGAGTTTTTGTATTTGTTTGCTTTTTAATGTCCTTAGTTTTTTTGTTTTTTTTTTTTTTTTTTTTTTTTTGTTGCATATACACATTTCACTTCTTCAGTTAATTAACGTTTGTGTTTAAAACGAAAAAAGCAAAATACATATTTATATAGAAAATGGAAAAAATATAAATTTAACATTTCAAGAGGATTACACAAATTATCCCATCTATTTCTTATATATATGTGTTTTTGTGTTGAATTTTCTTTAAAGTTAAATTTTTTCTTTAAGTTTAAGTGTTTACAGTTAACAACTATTTTGTTTGTTTAAAAAGTAGAAATAGAAATTAAAGCGCCTATATAACTAAATACATGAATTCATTTTGGAGGCGCAACTATGTAAATCTATTATATATATATACATATATATATATATATATACATATATAAATGATATTTTTTTTTTTTTTTTTTTTTTTTTTGTGTAAAGATATTTATAAGCATGTCTGTTTTAACTGGTTAATAATTAATAGATCGATTAATTTATAGGGGTAAAAGGGATCAGGCTGAATTATTATTTAAAACGGCAAAAACTTTACATTTGTTGTTATTGTTGTTGTTGTTGAGGTGCGCGATTACAAGTTAAAAATCAAAAATGAATAATTATAGGGTTTCTTCTTCCTATTCTTTTTTACGATCATGCGATCTACATATAACTAGTTAAATATATAATATATATATCTTTATATTTTAAAGGTAGCACACTTTTGGCTTGTAGCCCCAAGTGAGGTTTTCTTCTCTTTAACTTTAACTTTCAAACAAGCGTGTGTGTGTGTGTGTTAACCTAATATTGTATTATTATGTCTATCATTAGCTTTATCCATTAGTTTCATACATACATATCTCTTACTGTTTAGCTCGTTTATTTTTCTCTCTATTTACATTTGATTTTGTTTTTTCATGTTTTCGTTTGTGTGGCGTGTTTCTGTTTTCGGTTTTTATATCATATATGCTGTTTAAAACTAAATAACTTAAAAATTGCTTACAAATATTTTGCAATGAGTTTTTGTTGTTAATTTTCAAGTTAAACTCTCGCTATTTTTTTGTTTTCTTTAAATAGAAAAGTAATTGGAAAACATGTTAAAATATATCTCGCCCTGAAGCTGTGAGGCGATTCCATTTAAAATTTTGACGAATTCATTTAAAAGTTCAAGTTCACATTTCACACGATTTAAATAGCTTTGGATTCTACTTCGCCAGTTTTCAGTCGCTATTCATTGCCGGCTGCAGCTGCTCGCTTTTCGCTCTCTCACAGTTGCTTCATCACCAACCGCTGCTAGCTACTCTTCTCTCCAGGTGTGCAAGCACCTGCTGCCGGCATCTCTCCACTCTCCACACATTGCATGCTACTCATTACTCACTTCACGTTGCTTACACACGCTTGCGCATGCGCTCATGGCGAACACCGATGTTGCGCTTCCATTCGGGATCATTGGGATCATCGTCCATGAATGGATCATCGACCAGATCCTCATCGTCGAGTCCCTCACCCTCGCCTAAATAAGCATCGATGCTCGAGTTATAGGCATTTGCATCGTTCGTGCTTGTGCCTGGCACTTGATCATCCTCTGGTGGCGCCAGATAATGATGATAATCATCATCCTCCTCTAGCAGCAGCATCTCCTCCTCCTCATCCTCATCCGCTTCTGGCAGATAGTCAATGCCATCGTCATAGCCATCCTCCTGGCCGCCATTGCTGTGAACTGATTTTGTCGCAGCTTGTTTTGCAGCATTTTTGCCACCATTAAGCCGCGTCAATTTGCCGGAATTGGTGGCCTTTGCTTTGCTGCTGCGTCGACTGCTGGAGCTGGTCGTAGTGCCATCTCCATTAGAAGAGACCGATTTGCTTTTGATTCGCTTGCCCGAAGCGGTGGCTGCGACGCTGGTGGTTGCCGGTGTCGCTGGCTCTTTGGGCTCGGGGCTTGTGTCGGCGAGCAGTCGTTGATAGGCCTCCTCGGAGAGAGGAAAATTTAACGGCTCAAATGGAGGCGGATCCTGTGGCAAATGTAAAAAACAAATATAAATATAATACACAGTAATATAAATACACATCAGCACTCACGTCTCGGGTATCTGGCGTGGCACTACGACGCTCGTGATCCTTTAGCTTGCTGGATGTGGTGCGACGTCGCTTTGTGGTCTCGCCCTCAGGTGCGATGCCATCGAGCGGATTCTGCATCATGTTCTGTGCCAGCGGCGAGGGTATGCTCTCATTGTCAGCGGTAGGTCCGGTCAGCTGTGAAGCAGCCGGCGACGCTGGATCCGGTGTATTCGCGCCGCTCGATTCAGCCCGACTGTCCACACGTCGATTAGCACGCGACCGAGTGCTCCAGGGGAACTTTAAGAATGTCTCGAAACGTCGACGTTCCTCGATGAGAGCAATCTGATGCCGTGCTATGTACGCCTCATCCGAGAGGTCTTCCACCTCATCATCATCATTCTCCACAACATCAGCAGCGGGAGCAGCTGCGTCCTTTGCTTCTGCTATTGGCTCTTCCGTTTTCTTTTCGGTCTTGTCTTCTGAGATGTGCGCCGTCTGCAGTTTGGGTCGCTTATTAGGTGGTTCAACAGATTTAGCAGTGGGTTTATCTGCTACATTTGGCGCCGTAGCGTCCTTGCTAGTAACAGCGGCAGCAGCAGTAGCAGGAGCAGCAGGCGTAGGCGTGGCAGCAGCTGAGCTTGCTTTATTTACATTATTATTTACAGGGATTTTATTATTGTGCTTTTTGGTTTTACCATTGAGAGGTGCTTGCTTCCTTTTTAGTTCCTTGCTCTCAATTTTCAACAGCTCGGATTTCTCCTTCAGCGGCTGCTCCTTGGTTTCAATTGCCGACTCTTCTGGTTTTCCATTTAACAGTCCATTACTTAGTGCCTGCTTTGTCTGCTCCTTTGACAACTTCCCAGTCTCTGCCAGTCGTTTCTTCTTCTTGATCGATTGCTTCACGCCATTTAGTTTAGTTGGGGATTTGCTTGATGTTTTCTTTTCAGTGTTGTTGCTTAACTTGGGCATTGTTGTTACTGTTGCAGCGGGCGATGTTGTTGCTGTTGTTTCACTTGCTGTTGCTGTTGTTTGTGCGGGTGTTGTTGGTGCGGTTGCTGTTGTTGGTGCTGCTGTTGCTGTTTCTGTTGATGCTGCTGTTGCTGTTGCTATTGTTGTTGCAGTTTCTATTGTTGCTGTTTCCGTTGTTGTTGTTGCTACTGCTATTGGTGCTTTCTTTTCGTCAGTCACCAGTTCTTTCTCCTCCTTTGCATTCACACAGCCATTGGTCAACTTTTCGGCATTACCAGATTTATTCGGAGATTGTTGCTCAGTATCGCTATCCACAATACGCCACCTAAGTTGATGAGAGAAACAATATGTTAATTTCGCATTCATCTATAACATATGTATATATATTCGTAATTACTTTGGTGTTGGTATCTCCTTGTAGGGCAGTATTTCGACACGCGTCTGTGCGGCCATGCTGTAGGGTATAACGATGTTGTCAATGTCGTAGATAAGACGATTACGTCTCTCTGCAGTGCTATTGAGTGGGATTGATTGAGGTATGGTTGATTCAATTATTTATGTAAATCTTTTAAGCAGCATTCACAGCAAACACAATTTCTTGCCAATTCTAAAAAATGCCCCTTAGCTTTCAAACTTTGGCTACACTCACCGTTCACTACGGTGCCCGTGTGTTTCGGAAGAATTGCGGCGACTGTGTTGCTCCCACTGCGAATCTCCGGTAAGGCGACTGTTGCTGTTATCCCCAACGCTGGCCTGTTGACTGCTGCTGCTGCATCTGCTTCTGCTGTTGTTGTTAATGTGTGTTGAATGCGTTTGATGAGATTTAGAGCCTGATTTGCGTGGCTTTTTACCGCTGTTGCCGGAGATCAGTGCGAAGCTATTTAGTTGTTGTTGTTGTTGGGAGTCGGGCAGCGCTCCGACTTGATTCGTGGCTGATTGACGCTCCTTTTTGCCCACTGCAGCGTCCAACAAAGATCAGGCATTCATATGTAAATGTTGAAGAGAGAAAAACGAAAACAAATTGCAAAATAAAACAAATATTGTTCGTTTTTGTTGTTTGTTGTTGTTCGTTGTTATTGCACAGTTGTTGTTCATGTTGATGATGATGATGATGGATGTGTGTGCGTGGGCAATTGTGCGCATGTGTGTGTGTGCGAGTGTTGCGATGTTCCGTGTAACATAAAAGAAATGCGTAAAGAAAAAAAAAAAAAAAAAAAAAAGAAAAGAAAAAAAGAAGATGCAAATTGTTGTTGTTTTATGTTAATAATCAATTATCGAATTTGTCATGTTTACAATAATTTACTGTTGACCACAAGCGGCGTTGTGGTAGGCGTAGAAGAAGAAGAAGTAGTAGCAGTACCAGTACCGTTTCCACTATCCAATCCTACGTGCCCAGGTCCACTGCTCACGCCGTTGTTTTTGTTGATATTATTATTTTGGGTAGTTGATTCTTTATTGTTGTTATTGTTATTGTTGTTGTTGCTGCCGTTGTTTACTTTGTTTTGACTATTATTGTTGCGCTCCTTACGGCGCACATAGCGGCGCTTGGTCGTCTCCCCGGGTCTCCGTCCGGCACTTCCGCCAGTGCCACCGCCAGCAGAGGCAATCGCCTCGCGCTCAGCCTTCCAGACGCTCTTGACAATCGCCTTGGCCTGGCTACGCATTACACGATATTGCCAATCAGGCTGACGGCTAATCGCTTCCAAATGCACCGACTGGCAAACATCTGCAATGATAAGGAATCCAAGTTTCATTAATTTAAAGCCCTCCTGAATAAACTCATTTGACCACTCACCATTGGAGAAGCTCAGCACCGGATGATAGCCGGGGTCGAGCAGCGCTACACGGTTTTGGGGCATCAATGTTTCGGGTAGATCTCTTGGCGCCGTCGGATCCGGTCGGCCGGTGCACAAAGTGCACGGCACCTGCGGCCATTGGCAGCCGCATTTGATGTTGCTGGGACGTGCTGCCTTCTTAGATATTGTGTGCATATTTGTGGTCTGGAAGAGTTTACGTTTGCGAAACTCTGACAGTACCAAAGGACGCGCCCGACTGCATAGCCAATCATCGGATGCCTGTTCGGGATCTAGGTGTAACGCAGGCTGCGCCGGTTGCTCCGTGTACCCGTTCTTTGGCGTCTTTGTCGGTTCCAAGAGTACATCGCCCTTGGTGCGACACAGATCGTTGTAGACGTCGTTGTGCTGCCGGATTTTTATCTCCAGATCGGCAATCTGAGCGCTCAGCCAGGACCAGCGCAGGGCTATGATAGCACGCTCTCGCGAATAGCGCCATACGGCACGTCGCGCGCTGCAAAATATAATAGAAGATATTTATATAACATTCCAACTGAAAAAGTTAAGAACACGGCTAAAAACAGAAGTTACAAAATTCTAATGTTAAATACATTTTACAGTACTGTTAATGTTGAGACTAAGAGCATTAAATGGCCGGGCCTAACATTTGCACATATGTTAAATAGCAGAACTTCTTATTACACTTCTGTTAAAGTTAACAGATCTGCTTGGCTAATCAGTTGAATAATATATCGTAAATAAGTATATAACTAACACTCCAACTGTACATATGGTTGCTAAATTAAAGTTTAATTTAAAAAAACCTAAAAAAAAAAAAACCTAAAAAAAAAACGATAACTTTGCTTTTCATTTAAATGACAGAATTGAATAGCTTGGAAGGATTATAACCAATACACACATACATCTATGCTAAATGTTAAATTGCGACTGATTTTTGTTATCTTTGATAGCAGATTTTAAGCGAATAGGTTAAAGATTCAATAGATATATATAGATCAAAATTAATGACCTCTGTAATCTTTGATCATAGATTTGAAATTATTAGTCACAGAGATGCTTATGATTGTTAAAGATACCAATATCAGTTAAAGATTGAATATATCAACATTTCGTTCACTCACATTGGCAATGACAACTGCTGGGAATTATTGTAGGTGACCATCTCGTCGGCAGAGTCGCCGCCAGAACTCGATTCAGTGGCGTCCGAGTCGATGGCATTCTGCACCTCACGCATTTCAGTGTGCAACAAGCCCGCCACATGGGTCAATTCGCTGGTCACATAGCTATCAAAGTTCGGCACAATCTCGTCGGGGCGTGGAGCCAAGACGCCATCGACTCCAGCTGGTATAGTACTGCTGTTCACATTGGCAGTGTCCACTTGTTGTGTTTTGCGCGCCCGTTTGCCCGGCTGTGCTGCCCCGCTATACCACGTTGAGGAGGACGCCAGCGATGCAGAGCCACCGCCAGTTGTATGGCAAATTTGTTGTTTACGCGCCGCCGTCTCAATGTGCCGCAGCACATTGCACATCTGACTGGCAGGCAGTGGGTGTTTGGTCTGTTCCTCCCAGAAGCTGCTATTCGGTCGCCCAGATACAATCGACAAGACGGTCTCCTCTCGTTCGCTCAGCTTGGCGCTGCGTACCGGCGCGCCGGATGCTGCTTTATGCGAGGTGCGCGCCGCCCATTCAAGAATGCCGCTCACTTCGTCGCTGGCATGACGGCACATATGACGCGATTGGAACTTGCGCATGCGCCGCAGCAGGAAGTCAATCTTGCGCATCAGCAAATACTGTTGCTGTTCGAGCTCTGCATGGCATTCCTGCAAGGGACGCGCCACGATTCCTGTACTACAACTGGGCTTTGACTCCAGCATATCTTGGATGCCGGCAATAGTCGATGCTGGCGTTCCTGCTGCTGCTGCTGTTGATGCAATTGGGCCAGCTGACGCTGTTGTTGTTGTAACTGTTCCGGCGCCGGCCGCTGCTTCGTCCTCGTTGCATGGGAAATACATTTCGTCAAGGAAATTATAGATTGTATCCGGATTGACGTGCGCACTGTCAAATGTTTTGAGCGCCTTTAAAACCTCCTCAATATCCTGATCCTCGAGCACGGCGCCAGCACCGCCATCCTTAAGAAAGTTTATCGAGCTCGTCGTGCTCTGCGGCGTCAGCACTGCGCCGGACTGACGCGCAGTTGTTGAATGCTGAGGTGAGGCGAGTATCTCCGGTTGTTGTTGCTGTTGCAATTGTTGTTGCTGTTGTAATTGCAACTGTTGCTGCTGTTGCTGCTGTTGCAACTGTTGCTGCTGTTGCAACTGTTGTTGCTGCTGCAACTGTTGTTGCTGTTGCAACTGTTGTTGTTGTTGCAACTGTTGTTGTTGTTGCAACTGTTGTTGTTGTTGCAACTGTTGTTGCTGTTGAAACTGCTGCTGCTCCAGCTGTTGTTGTAACGTCAGCAACTGTTGCTGCTGTTCTTGTTGCTGCTGTTCTTGTGGTTGCTGTTGTTGTGGTTGCTGTTGTTGCCTTGTCGACATCGTCGGCGCCACAACGCTGGCTTCCATCGCCGGTTCGCCTTTAGCCACGTTGGGCGGCAATACAACGCTGGGGCTGCCATCGAGTTGACTAAGACATTCTGTAAATGCGAAGAATAAAATCAATTTCAATATAAATACGCATTGGCCTCTTTTTTAAATGATCAAATCTAATTACACCAAACTACTGTTAACAATCCACTATGATTGGCATTATTTTCTGTTGCATATAATGTAAATTAACATATGCTACCTATGGTTGCCACTATGATTTGTACATTGACAGACTCCAGTTACAAATTAACACGCCAGAGCTATAAAATGACAACCTGCTGTTGACTTACATTTCTAACTAACTAACATAGACTTACTAACATAGACTGCTATCTAACAGTGGTACATTGCTAGACGCAGCTAATGTTAGAGCCTTTGAATAACAGAACTGTATAGGCACCATTATACATTATTAAATTTACTACAATACATGGGCATAATTATATAAAGGGAAATTAATTGGGTTTTTTTAAAGTAGAATATCCAATGCCCGCCAAACATAAAACAAAAAGTAACCTCAAATATAAAACGAGGTATGTTAAATCTGTTAACATAGCTATTCACAGTTAACTGTTAAGTTGATTCGATTCAAAGCAAGTGCGACCGACAGTAGCAAAGGAAATTTAAATAAAAAGATTATTTAAAATCCAGCTTGTTTCGCCTGGATCTTTGAAACAATTGAAATGTTGTCTGATGTCAAACAAAACATCGAGCAAATGTTTTACATTAAACAAAAAAGCGCATTACTGGAACGTGAATACGCATGCAATATTTTTACTATTAAACTTTTCGGAAAGCTGTCGGATTGATCGTGCGGACGGCGGAATAGCATTGGTACTTTAAAATCGCCCTTTCAGGCTTACGACTTACCTTCAATAGAATCTGAAATTTTCGCAGCAGCAACAGTTAAATCCGCCGCATTCTCCGCATTGGGTGGCAGCGGTATTTCCGGCCACGCCAACCGCTGCAGAGCGTCTGTGAGTGTTGCTGTAGCTGTCGTTGTTGTTGTTAGTGTTGCCGCCACCGCTGCTGCTGCTGCCGCCGCACTTGTGGACTGGGACTGGGCTTCGGTTTCTGCCATTAACGCGGGCTCCAGCAACTGCACGGAATGTGCTATAGCAGCGGCTGCAGCCACAGCTGCTGCGGCAGCTGCTTCAGTTTCGGCTGACTGCTCCTTGCTGTGGCTCACCTCGGGCAGTGTTTTCCGCAGGCAAATCTCAGCTGTGATGGCCTCCTCAAATTCGCTTGTTAAATTTGCCAGCAGCTCTGCCGTTGAGTTGTCCTTGCAGTTATTATTGTGCTCGGTGGACGCGTTATCGGCTGTCGCTGCTGGTGTCACTGTTACTGCTGCTGCTACACCTACGTCGTTGATGTTAATGCTACCGCTGTTGCTGGAGCTGGAGCTCGAGGAGACGCCTGCACTGCCGTCGCTGCTTGTATGTGTGGTTGCAGCGCTCAGGCCCATTTGATGCTCCACGGTTTTGGCTTCGCTGTTGTTATTGTTGTTGGTATGATTATTGGATTTGCGCTTGTTGTTATTGACCTGCACAATCGGCGAGCCCATACGCTGTGCCGCGTCCTTGGAGCGTGTCACACGTGTCGTGGCCGTCAAAGAGATTGGCTTCTTGGCCGTTTCACTGGGCGAGTCCAATTTTCGTACAGACTGCCGCGTGCCGGTGGCAGGGGATGCGTTGTTTGTTAGCTTCTCCTTGGGACTCAGTGGCTCGGCCGTGAGCGCTGGTGCCATACTTATGCGGCGTCACTGCCAGGCCAGCTGCATTACAGAGTTACGCTATTCGACACTTTACCACGCTATTCGGTTTTTATCACTTAATTACTGTATGCACTTTATTGCTCTGTAGGGAAGGGATTCCTGTTGGTCGCTTCAAAATAGACGATAAAAAGAATTTTTTAAAAAGTTAATTCAATAATTTATTTTGAAAGCTGACACCGAACTGAAGCACACTTTGTTTTTCCGCTTACGCACTCTCATACAAATAAAATGCTCAACATGTTTCGTCTCGCCTACTATTAAAACAATGGCAGAATGGTTTATCTAAAGTTGCCATACATTTGCATAATCGATAACAACAATTACACAAATTAACAGCGATAACAAAAACCGCTGTAGTTATTATTTTTTGATGACCTCTTCCATTAATAGCAGGCGGATGCTTTATGTACATATAGCTGCCAGACATCTGCATAAATGGGACCACTCGATAATAATTACACCGACCAACAACAAGCGATAGCTAACAAAATTCCGTTGTTATTTTGGTTGCCTATTCCTCCTTGTGATTATCTTCGTTTACGCTGCCTATAGGAAGTCTTTTCCGGCGCCGCGTGCGTGTGTGTAGCACTCACTCACTCTCTTTCTCTCTCCCACACACATACAAATACACACACACACACACAAACAGGCGCGCGGGCTTCAATGCGTGCCAATTGTGAGAGCAGAGAAGAGAGCGCGCGCTATAGCTCATTCACAATGATGCGCAATAAAAAAAAACGAACTATAGAGCACTGCGGTTCGCCCAGCAGAACATTTGAACAAATGCAAATGGGCAAAACTACTGACGAAATCTCTGACTGCGCGCATGAAAATCTAAATTATTTTTATTACGCATGTGTGCAGCAAAACGCATATGTCACAAACATTTACAAAGAGGTGCGTCGCCGCTTATTTTTCATGTTTTTTTTATGTAATTTCATTTATTGAATTTTTCATCGTTGGCAATTAAGCAGCTCGCGCCTTTACAATATGTGCGCGCACACAGCACACAAACAAATAAAACACACATACACTCATACATATGGGTACAGACCCATGCATGAGGCTACTGCTTGTATAGACGTGTGTGTTATGTACATACACACATGCATACATGTACATGTCTAGCACTATTTTCAGTTATTTACACAATAATTCATTTTATTTTCAATTTGCACACAAATTACATAGCCTAAAGCGCCTTAAACCTACTAAAGATTATAAACAGTTTCGCTTTTATCGCAAAATTCTTTATTTATATACACACATATATATGTGTTTTTCTTCGTTTCAACCAAAAAGTAGTAGAAAACGTTTTCAGCGCGAAAGTAACCAAACTGTGCACTACACACACACACACACACATGTACCGACATACAAAAGCAGAAGCACGCAAGAATTTGTAATTGCTTAAAAATTATTACTATTTTATACGCACAATTTTAGACACTTGCACAACGCACGCAATTATTAAATCTGTCGATTTTTACTAAAGCGGCGTTGCTCGCGCTTGGTTTATTTGTCGTTAATATTTCACTAAATTTTTTCCTCATTTATATATTTTTTTCATTTGCTCCCTGCTACGCTTTTGGCAAAACGACGTGTATTCGGAGCTGTACTCGTTTCTGTGCTGCCAGACCAAAGTACGCATGCTGATCATACGGCTGTCTCGTTCTTACTTATGGCGCTACATGGGCAATTCCGCATCAGTGTTGCAATGCGTGTAAGTGAGATGTCTTGACAAATGGTTACTTTAAATCGTTACTCAGTCACAAATGGCAACCCCTAACCGTGACCAAATGCTACTACATAAAATGCAACTCTGCTCGCAAATAAGCAATATGTTTGTTATTGTTTTTACTGGGATGAATTTTAATGGTTCTTACAATGTGAATAAATATTAATTATATTATATCGGTTCTTGACTTTTGATTTTAACAACAAGCATCGCTTAATTATCATTAAACAGGCCTTCTAGATTTCTACACATTTTAAGGAGGCGTCTGAGTATTATATACCAAAAAGATCAACTGATGGAGCCTCAAATATAAATAGGACCCTAAAAGTTAGAATAAATTTGTGAAAACATAGGAAAAAAATTTGCCAATTCTTTTTACGCTTCGCAGATAGAACACCACTTCTGGCTAACGTATTACTGTGAACTTGTTGTAGCTATAGTTCTCAATCTTCTTGGTTGGCGAAAATACGGCGTTTTCAATCTTCGAATGGGGGCTACCTTTGTTCTGGAGCCAATCCTTCCTGGAAGCAGTCAAAATGTGACAGTCAGGACACAATAAACTATATGACTAATAATCCAGGTCTGCATTTACATTTCGTTAAGCGGTGCTAGCGGAGCTTCCAATTCGCCCCTTACTGTGCCGTTCGGAGTGTTCATGCACCAACCGCGGACTCCCAGTTCATTCGCCTGCTTTTCTGTGTACTATATTTTTATATATGTGCAATAAACCAATTGAGCTTAAATTTGTTCTATACGATATTCGCGCTATTCCATAATAGACTTACCTTGCGAAAGAAAACGCCTACAAAAAAGAAAAAAGAAAAGTTAAAAAATGTGTAACAATTAGAATTTTGCAAATGAGGCTGTCGATCGTTGAATATATATACCTTGTACTTGTCCAAAGACTTCGAAGCTGCACGCAAATAATTGAGTCATTGCGATTGATGAATTCTGATTCCCAGAAACTTGGGATGTTACGAACAGCACAATAATTATAACAATATTTACTTTGAGAACTAAATCTGATTTATACGAAAACACCATAACGACCGACTAACAGAGTTGCCAGCTAGCTTCAAATTCTCTCCAGTGGCGTAGTCAGTCGGTCTTGCAAAGCGAAAGGTGTCCCCTTTTTAATGTCACTGTTATATTATAATATATATGAATTATATATATATATATTTTATTTTTTCATAATATATATGACTAATTACTGCATGATTCGTTTGTACACTTCGTTCAGTGAGCGACTTTAAATCGCAGAAATTAAAAGATTATGACAGTTCTACTGAGATCCTTGAAGGTAAGTGATAAACTAAGTTTTTTTGTTTTGTTTTGTTTTAACATAATGATTAGAACAGACTTATGAAACACAAACCCGATAATATATTTTTATATTTTGATCATTTTGACGCCTGTTTGCTGCGCGCCCTGGCAGTTGCGTTTGCGTTTTCATTTAGCTGTATGGCAACGCTACCGAGCTCCTTGAAAAAATGTCGCCGTATTAAGAAAACGCTGTTTTGTTCTTATATTTTAGGCATATTTTTTGTAGTTTATTTAAGTTTTACGTATATGGTTGTTAGTGTGGCTTATTAGTATATTAGTGCTTTAAATAACAAAATACTATGGCCCGCTGCTGGCAGCAGAAATGAAATCGTAAATTCGTTGTAAAATTCTGGAGGGTATATCAATTTCAGTTGGCTCGATCTGCGGCCTGTTTCTTGGCCGCCAGGATAGTGTTTTGCATCAACATGGCAACTGTCATGGGGCCAACACCTCCAGGCACCGGAGTAATATGTCCAGCCACCTGACGCACTTCTGTAAATCAAAATTATTGTCAATTTGCATACAGAATATTGGGTCGATTGCATCATTTACTCACCATCGAAGTCGACGTCGCCAACAAGTTTATATTTGCCTGCCTCATCTTGGACTCGGGTGATGCCCACATCAATGACACAAGCACCCGGCTTGACCATATCCTTGGTTATCAAACCCGGCTTACCCACGGCCACCACAATAATATCAGCTTGGCGGCAATATTTTGCCAGCTCTTTGGCTGGCGTATAGCGATGACAAATAGTGACCGTGGCATCCAGGCCCTTGGTTGCGTGGCTGCCATCCGAGTGCAACAATATGGATAAGGGCAGGCCCACATTTTTGGAGCGACCGACCACAACAGCATTGCGTCCGAATGTTGGTATATTGGTGCGCTCGAGCAAAGTCTTCACACCGAGTGGCGTGGCCGGCACAATACCATTCATGTCCAGAGCCAGACGACCAATGTTAATCTCATTGAACCCGTCCACGTCCTTGGCAGCAATTATGGCATTGCACACGGTGCGCTCATCAATGTGCGCCGGCACAGGCAGCTGCACTAATACACCATTCACACTCTCATCCTTGTTCTGCTTGTCGATCACATCCAGCAGCTCCGCCTGTGTCGTTGACTCGGGCAACACAATTGTGCGGCTGCGAATGCCGATTTTCTTGCACGCCTCTGTCTTCTTTTCCACGTATTTCTGGCTGGCGGGATCTTCGCCCACAATGATGGCAGTCAGGTGGGGCACAGGATTACCTTCGGCCACAAACTGACTCAGCTCCTTACACAATTCGCTGTGTATTTGGTTAGCCATATTCTTGCCATCGATGATTTGAGCCATGTTACTGCAAAGTGAATGAATATGGAAATAAATTTATTCGAAGATATGTATTATATGATTTATAGAACTCTAAAGGAAATGGATTAGATAAGATAGTCCAAAGGCGATTTATAAAATTGGAATAGATTCATAACGCGTAAGAGGAAGTTCTTCGCATAAACAAAAATATACATACTTATATTGTAATCTTCTTGATTCGAACGCGTATTGAATTCGAAATTCAGTCTAAGGTTTATCTAATGAGATGTGATTAATGTACTGCGGGTCACTGTGCGTCCGTTTATATAACAGGACACCGACCTAAACTGTCTGTCTATATGAATGCAGAAATTGCAAAAGCCACTAAAGGTTTGAAATTTGTATACATACATATGTATATAATTATGTATATACATATATATAATTCTCATTATCGAGAATATCAGTTCTCAGGCAATCTGACATAGAGCCCTCTCATTTGAAACCTATAAATTGTATAATAGAAGACCACAAAATGTTTACAACTAACGGGGAAGTACACACAGAGCGATTGACCGGTAATTCCCCTAGCACACACTAATCTCTATAGCTCACTTGGTGATTCACATACATACAATATTTTTACTGCAAGGCGTGTTGGGGGTTTTTCCCTTTTTATATGCGATAAATGTAAAAATTTATTGAACAATCTATTATGTAATACAGCAAATATTCTTGTTAAACTTAATAAACATAAATGTAGGTGTATATATAGATATATTTCTATAAAAAATTTTGCTTAATAATTTATATATATGTAAGTATATAATTAATTGGAAGCACTGAGCATACCCAGCTCCTGGAGTGCAAGTGCAAACTGTTTGTACTGTTTGTCGCCCAACTTGTGTTGTAAATAGTTGAGCATACCCTCTGAGCTTGACCAGAGCCAGCTGAACTCTTTCAAGTCGGACTTGTCGGCAATCTCTTTCCATTTGGGCAAGTTGGCATTGTCGGCCGTCGGCTCATTGAGCTGGGCCACCAGTTTGTCAAACCTGGGTTTGCTACTCAGCAATTGCTCCAATTGCTTTTCAACGTCGCTATCATCCATGGTACTGTCCTCATCCGCGTACTCCGTCTTGAACTCCATATCAATTTCTTCGGTTTTGATCGATTGGGCTGGTACTTCGGAATTGCTTTCCTCGTCATCTTCGGCAGATGAGGAGTCCATTTCCTCTTTAATATTCAGTGGTATCCATGTCATGGCGCATTCTCCCTTGTCCGGATACACTTCCTCCAGCAGCCGAACACAACGATCATTCGCCTTGGCACGTGCCAGCTGCAATGGGGTTAAACCAGCCGAGTTTCTGCTCATTAAAATATCCATTCGATTCTCTGCATCCAATATTAAAACGATCAGCTCCACATTCTGCTCCAGCACAGCCATGTGCAGTGCGTTATTGCCGTCTGTTTTGTTGGCCACATTGATGGAGCTGCGATCATAGTTGATAAGATTCTTGGCTACATCATATTTGTTCTGCCTGATGGCCATGTGCAGCGGTGTCAAGCCATCATCGTTCGTTAGTGACAAATCCAATTTGGCGCCTGGCGCATCTAGGAATAGCTTAATGCAATTGTTGCGATCCTCTTTGACAGCCAAATGCAGAGGCGTGTTGTCCGTCCGATTTTGTTGATTTGGACTACAGCCCAGTCCCAGCAATGGGCGTATGTAATGCTCCCGGTCCTGCTGGCAGGCTATATGTAAGCAGCTATCTCCATCCGCATTTTGTGCCGTATGTGCCAGCTCGCGCAACTTGAAGTAATCAATCACCTGGAACGTCTTAATGGCCAGCTTCAGATTATCCTTGCGCTGGCTAATCACCTCGTGCAGCAGTGTGTCGTTATTCACGTTCTTCTGTGCATGATCCGTGAAGAGATTTTCCACTTTCTTGCAGGAGGATTGATATAGTTCCTTATTATCGACAGCGCGTCGGGCCGCATCGAATATCTTAAAGATTTCACCCAGGTAGGTGCTGGTCAGATTGTGATTGTATCGACTGCCGTGAGTGCGATCTGCACTTTCCGATTGCTGTTGACCATCTGTTTCGAGTACGCCAATATCGGTGACACAGAGCTTCTCCAGCTCTGCGGAGTCCTGTTCGAGTATCTTGCGAAACGATTCTGGATTTATTAGTTGTTCCAAATGAAATTCTCGACCGAACTCCTGACTAATTGTCTGATCATGCTGTGACACGTTGGCCACGCCCTGCTGCGGCACCGTCTTGGGCAGCTCGACTGAGTTGTTTAGGCTGCCACTGCTGCTGCCGCTGCTGCTGCTGGTAAGTGTGGAGCAGGTGCGTCGGCGTTTGCGTGAAACGATCGCATCACGTGGCTTATAACGGAAAGGCAATGGCGGAAAGGAGCGCTCATCGTCGGAGGGACGTATCAGCTCAATGGAGACACCCACTTCGCGTTCCACATCCTTGTCCTTGTAGGGCGGCGTCTGGCAGACAATCGCATACTGATGATGAACATCCGATTCACGGAATTTTGCATATGCCTCCCAAACTGTTTCACCATCATCGTTCTCCTCAAAGAAGCGCACTTTGATATTCTTCTTGCTAACCTTTTCCACGAGCAAAATAAGCTCATCGTTGCCCATGACGCTGCCAGTGGGTTTGCTGAGGCGAGTGATGCGTAGCTCGCCCGTTTGTGCGGACTTGCGATTGTTAATCGGATTGCTATAGACGGGCGCCGCAATAGGCGTCCAGGTTTGATTATCCTCAATCTTGAAGGCTTCAAAGCACAGGCGCACCTAAAAGACAACCAGCGTTGAGTATAGTTCCTTGAATAATACCACAAGTCGTTGACTTACCTGATTCAGGTTCATATCCTTGGCCTCACGCTCTGTTTCCTGATGCAACTCCTGCACCTGCTTGGTAGACAGTTCCCGGCGACCCATTTTGAAGACCAGACGATCCTTTTTCTTTTTCAGCAGCTCGTCGAATATGAATTTTTTTGCCGTGTGTATGATGCCCATATTGATGAACTGGGCCACATATCCACGTTCCTGCGAGACACGCAAATCATGTGGATCACATACATCGCGCTCATCCTTGCGCACCACCAACTGATGCGAATGTGGACTGTCCAAATTCGTTTGGAATAGACTGCAACGGATGACAGCTGGTCCATTGTAATTGCGTAATATTACCTCTGGAAATGTTTTTGGTGTCCGTTTCGAATTAATGCCATTAAGTGAACCATGTGTTCCATGCATTTCGCTCTTGTAGCGAAATCGAAATTTTTCCACCGGTTGTTCGGCAATGTGCAGCACAGCAGTATATTCTTGTTTAACGCCACCATCGTTTGCCGCATATCCCACATTTTGTGGCGTCGCATAGAAATGATCCATGGGCATGTACATATTGCCAAAGTTTGTGGTTCCATTTAATATATTG